GGGCTTACCCTGGAGCCCTCCAGAAAGGTGGAGAATCTGAGGGCTGTGAGGGGCGGGGGGCCGCTTCCCACCTGCATCTCCTCCACAGGTGGAGTTTGCTGTTAGCCGGGTCCAGATGAATTTCTTGCACCTGCTCAGCTCTGAGGGGACCCAGCAGATCACAATCCATTGCCTGAACCTGACGGTGTGGCAGGACGGCCCGGGGCGCCCCGCCACTAGGCAAGCCGTGCGCTTCCGTGCCTGGAACGGACAAGTCTTTGAAGCTGGGGGTCAGTTCAGGCCAGATGTGCCTGTGGATGGCTGCAAGGTAATTGCTGGAGCCCCACATTGTCCCTTGGTGTAGCGACAGTGGGAGCAACTTGTTTTGCTTTACCAGTATGTCTTATAATTTTATACCGTATGATATACAGTCTTTACCATCATGTGGTCTCATGAGAACTGTTTATTTAGTGACACTGACTTTCCCTGCTTTCCTCTCTAGGCATTCTGTGTGTGCGTGTGTGTGTGTGTTCGTGTCCGTGTGCGTGTGTGTGCGTATATATGTGCACATATGTGCTGCTAGGGGTGCACCCAGGGCCTTGCGTCCCCTGGGCACGCACTCCCTAGGCTGACCTCTCTCAGGAACCTTCTCAGGGGAAGCTGTACTCAAGAAGTTCTTCAGGCTAATAAAAACTTTTGTTATTTGCGAAGGCTTCTTCAAATGAGTGTGTGTTCTCTGACCACCAATCAGGCTGCTTTAGTTCTTTTAATATTTTCGTTCATTTTCAAATGTCTTAAACAAGATAGGCTTTAAAGTTTGGGGGAGACAGTCATAAAAGCTAACACTGCTTTCATAAAGTAAAACTAGTAATACACAGTGCCTTTAAGTGTGTGGGAAACTGCCCCCCCTACAGGAGACTCCCGAGAAAAGGATGCTAGAAAACAGCTCTGCATAAATATAAAGCCAGTATGTATTCTACTTGTAGAATGGGAATTACCTGCAATGTGCCCCAAAGTTAAAACACAGAGAATTTTATGCAGTATTAATCAACAAGAATAAAAGACAAAAAATTAAAAATTGAGGTTGGTGTGATGGTTCACACTTGTGATCCCAGTATTCAAGTGGAAGTTGAGGGGGAGGTAGAGGCAGGAGCAACACGAGTTCAAGGCAAGGCTGGGCTATATGGGATCATGTCTCAAAATAGATAGATAGATAGATAGATAGATAGATAGATAGATAGATAGATAGATATAGATGGATGGATAGATAGATAGATAAATAATAAATAAGTAGGTAGATTGATGGATGGATGATAGCCAGCTAGATAGACCATAAATAAGTAGGTAGATAAAATAGATGATGGATGGATGATAGATATATAGGTAGATAGATGATAGGTAGGTAGATTGACAGATGAATGATAGATAGATAGATAGATAGATAGATAGATAGATAGATAGATAGAT